TTTATGTTAGTTTTACATTTTATATGTATAAAATAAAAAAAATTAAACTTAGTTTCTATAATTATTACCTTGAAATTCTTTATAGAATAATTAAAGTTTATTAAATTTTAAACTACAAGAAACCCCCTGCTTACTCGGAATAAAAGGGGATGAAAGTTGTCTGAGTTTATGAAATTCCAAGTTAGGGTTTTTCTCTGACATGGAAAGAAGAAGGTGGATACAGTACAGTAATTTATTACTACAAGCTCTATAAAGAAGCTTTATACAGCTTTAGTAAATTACACTGCTGAATTTACTATTACAGGAAATGAACTCAAAAAAATTTCGTGACAGTACAGGTATACAACAATTTATAATCGTCAGTAACTTGCCGATTACAGAATATAATGCCGTTATAACAAAGACTTTCAAATATTAAAAGCACTCTTTAATTACAGTTTCACTATAATTACAATTACTTTTAATTATAATTTTTCTACAATTAAGAAATTTTGTTACTGTTACTGTACAATTTTTCAAAAAAGTATGTGAAGTCCACGTTGGAAGTTACTTAGTGTTATTCAAATGAATTGCTACATAAGCATATAAATTTCCAAGCTTTACAACTATTTAGTCATACAATAATAATTGTTTGACAGTTTTTTATTTCAAATATGTATATATATATAACTTATATATATACAGTGGAACTTTGCTTAACGAGCATAATTCGTTCCAGAACTTACTCGTAATGCGAAACACTCGTTAAACTAAACAATTTTCTCATAGAAATTAACGTAAAATATAGTAATGCATTCCATGCCTAAAAAATACTCAAATACCTATATTCTTACGTATAAGATGAGATTTTTATTCATTTTTCACTGCTTTAAAAACCAAGGTAATCCTATATGCGTTATTGCAATAATTTCTGTGAACCGTGTATAGTTCACGCCACCATTAAAGCAGAGTGCTATCGATGTCAAGATGAATGTCGCTTTTAAAAAGATTGCTGTCACTTAATAATGATTATAAATGTAGTTATTTCATATTTGTTAAATTGGTATTTTTAACGAATATTTGTATATTCTGAATCATTCAAAATAAACCCTTTCTTGTCACGGGAGAGTCCGAGTAGTCAAAAGGTGATAAAGAAAACGTGGCTGTTTGCCTTAATACGCGCATTTGATGATAATTTATTTCTGATTAAACGAAATAAAATTAGAATTGTATTAATAAATCTATTTTCGATCTTTAAAGTCACACCTCGTCCTATATGCGAGATAGTCTTATAGGCGAGTAAATATTGTATTTTACGTATAGCATTTATTGAAAGAAAATTATACAATATACGTTGTTAAGGAGCGTGAATCGTCATCTTTTCTTCTAGCACGGAATGAACCAACCTGGAATGCGAATTCGATTTGCAGAAAACAAAAAATCATAGATAATAGCATGATGGAGCATGCGCACAATCCATGACTTCCCCTCCTCGTCACTCGTTATGCAAAACTTCGCTCGTTAAGCGAGTCATTTATTAAAACTTTCATTTGCTCGTTATGCGAAACACTCGTTCCACTGTATGTATATTATTGGATCATTCAATCTATAAGGTAAACTAAAGATAATGTTAGTATTTTGAATTAGCAATGCTTTTTTTATATAGTGAACATTGGTTCTCAAAACATTGTCCTGAAAGCGCTATTTGTATGCAAAGATAGACACAATACTTATAATAGAATGGAATAATCCATATTTATTAAAGGTTAATGCCATTATAATCAAAATTTTGTCTTAATATCACATTTTTGTACAAAGTTAAAAGAATAATAACTTTCAACTGTTATTATTTAATTTAAAACTAAAAAGTATTTTTCTTTTTTATAAAATAATTGTTAAAACTTAAAATCTTAACAATAATCATAAATTACTTCACAAAATGTTTTGAGAACCGTTATTTAAAAGTCTCCATTTGAAAGACATTCAAACTCATAGCTACATTTGAAGTTATAATACTAAAGTGTAGGCAATAATTTTGGTAAAAATTTATAGTATGATGTGGGATTATTGGACACAATTTTCAGACCTTACTTGTTTGTGCATGAGGAAAAGTTAAGAAAAACTATTAATGCACAATGCTGCTTGTGTATATTGCAACATTACTGTACATTCCTCCACAATTACATATTATGACATCCAGAAACAACAAGTATGGTTCCAGTAACATTGGGCATATAACAAAAAATTGTGTACAGTAAATAAGAAGTTCATCACGGAGAGAAACCACAATAAATTAAATTTAATAACCTCAATTTTTAAATTGTTTATAAAATAGAACGTGACGGATAGACTTCAGTTTATAAGTTATATAATTTTTTTGTAATTTTCGAAGTGACTGTATTTTCGTCGCACACTATTTTTTGCATTAAAATTAGAATTTAATTGTATTACCAGAAAAAATATAATAAATCTATGTTTAAATTATAGCTTAATTTATCTTTAAGTATTTTATATGAAAATGGAAGAGAATTAAGAAAAAATTTAAAAAATGACAGGTAAATATTGGAATTTAATATGTTCATTTACATTTGTAAACACATCTTACATTAAATTTAGCAGTATAAATTAATAATTATGCAAATATCTTCCGATAAAATAGCTATTAAATGTTTATTTTTACATTTATGAGGAGTATACTGCTTTATAAACGACTATTCCCCGTCTAACAAACTGCATCGATCAATTGATAGGTATAAAGTTTAATAAGAAAAAATATACAAATTAAAACTATAAAAAATATAAAATTTAAATAGAATTGGATAAAAATAAGCGATTTATAAAGTTTCTAGTTATTCATTCTTTCACGTAATCCCTTCAGAAACGTAGAACCGAGGCTTTAGTGTGCACTTTTTTATGTAAGGCACTTCAGAAACAATGCTAAAGTAAAATAATCTAACAAGTTGTCTCCTTTACAATCGTGGTTAACATCCATCGTACTTTTACGCTGGCTCGAATAACGAAGAATGGTAGGACCTTGTTTCTAATGAGCCAGTTTGAGGAGTACACAGCAATGATGACATCTTTCTATGACGTTTGGATACGATGCCACAATGTATTCGGTGTATATATAATTGAATTGAATGCATGGTACGTAAAAATGATTTCATAAAGTTTTTAGAGCCGGCGAGGATTGCTATAGAAAGTGCGTGTGAAAACATTTATATGCCGTTTATTTGCATTCTGAAGTTTACGGAAAATGCAAATGTAATGGCAGAGGGTTTAATAAAGCGCTGTGAAATATGCTTTTAGTAATGTCTTAAAGTTGGTAGACTTGGCATTAATTACTGTGCATCATGTAACACTATAAAATATTATTCATTGTTGACTGCTTACTATTCCATACAACTGGCTTCTTACCCTTGTGTTGGGCTACTTACGAAAGATAGGAAATTTTAGTTGCTTATTATCTTATCAGTAAAAATATAGCGTTTTCCGATGAAGCACAGTTAAACAAATGTCTGACAAATATCCTGCAATGTTTTCGAAGCTTTTTCACATATTATGATATATTGCTTAGCTATGGTAACTTCCCCCACTAACGTTATAAAACACTTTTTATTATAGGTGAAATGTGAAAAATAACACTTAATTGCACATTAGAGGCACAGAGAACAAACATTATACGGAAAACCTTCTCTCCAACCATTTTTGTGCAAAATGGAAACTGATAACAACACGCTGAATGAGTTCTCAAAAAATATGGGTAATGCTTTGCTAGCTGCAAATATTCCTTTTAATAAATCAAACAGCGCGGCTTTTAGGGTATTTTTGCAGAAATACTCGTAAACAAATGATAATGTTCCAAGCGAAGCTAATCAACGAAAATACTACTTGGAGCCGACATACTGCAGAGTTTATTTGTAAATTAAACTTTTTCGTAGTAACTGCCATCTTCGCTGTTATTCTTGGAACTGGAGAGTGTAAGGTTAAATTTAGGAGAATTTTGTTTTCGGCTTTCTGTGGATGACACTGCAGATCTTTGCGGGAGATCCACTGTTAACATAATAGTAGGAAACTTGATCTCGAACTCTCTGTTTTGCATTTGATACTTTTCAGCCTTTTATGTGGCTATTATCTGTAGTAAATATTTTCCCCTATCGAGAATCTTATGACGTGCAAAAACTGTGAACAGATTTCTTTTCATCACGGACCGCGCCTCCTACATTCTGGTGAAATTCTTAAATCCCTTCATCCAAAAATACTCCACATCATTTGTTGCTCACGATCTTTGTCAATAGCCGCAAATATAATAATTTTTATTAAATTAATTTGCATGCAGATTTTATTTACTTGATTTTTAGGCGATTCAAATGTTGATTCTGATGAAGCTGCAGCAATTGGGACGATTTAAGTGCCTAAGTGACGTAGCGTTAGTTAATAAGTTTAGAATTTCTTTTTTCTAGAACTATTGAGAACCGTAGGAAAAACATTGTTAATTAGAGTACTGTATATATACATAAATTTTGATTACCCGTAGCTCATTAAGACATTCGTAAATAATAGGAACACTCAGCTAAGAATTTTACAGTAATTTTTAATACTAATTTAAGTAAAATAAAAAAAAATTAAATATACGAAATAAAATGTAGACAATATTGGAAAATCGGAGCCAAAATTTTTTTAGCTCCACTTTTCTTGCTTTTTTCACCCGTGTCTTCTCACGAGTTGTGTTATCCTAATCTTCACTATAATCTCAGGTAATTAAATTTAATTGTGTAAACCTTTATACGCGTATCCTAAATATTTCAATACATTTTGTAAATATGTAGATCTGTAATAATTTTTGCCGATAAATCTGTTATAATAGGACTGAAGAGGAGTATTAAGCCCGAAATGCATATCCTTTCCTATCAATAAATCAGCCTTTTTCCACTAAAATTGTACCTGTGTGATCTGTTCTCAACGGCAAACTTATGCTAAGAAAATACATATTGTAAAGAGAAAAGCAAGCAACCACGACCTAATATTGGAAAAATTTAAAAACAATTTTATTTTCTAACAATGATTTTACGGTATAACAAACTGGATGACATTCATCACCTTCGAATAATATTATGTCTGTTTTACTTTAATTATAACCGGATTTACGTACGATCCAACGTATAAATATCCATTATACTCTAGTACTTCAGAAAATAACGAGCTTTTCCCATCTGGTGAGTGAAGAGAATTAATTATTTTTCCATCTTCATCAAATTCCACAATCATTCCGTGACTTCTATCGAAATAGCTTTCTATCGATAACTAGAAGAAAACATTAAAATAATTATAGTATCACAGTACCAATGAATTTTGTCTCATAAATTTGATAAACTACAGGGTAATCCAGTATAATTTGAATAAAGTCAGAATCCTTATTGTGTCTGTGGTATACTGTATATAATTCATTTAAAGTTTAAATAAATTATTGAATTTCTGGGAATCTTGTGTCACTTCTAAAAGTTTGTTGTGACGTCCCGCGGTGGCTCGAAACCACTGAAGTAATGGAAAAGTTACTGCGCACCTACATTGTATGGGTTATTGAAGAAGTGTGGAGTGACTTTACGATCATCCCAGGTTATTGCAATAGGTTTCTAGGATACTACAAGATTCCCCAAACCCAGCCATTCGTTTAAAGTTTAAGTAAATTCTTAGGTGTCTGGAAATCTAACGATATTTATAGAAGTTTTCTGCCACTTCTCAGGATATTGTGAAAACCACTGAAGGAATCAAACGACTTTCGCTCGACTTTCCTGGTATTCGAACAGGAAGTTAAGATAAGTTTTAATTATGCTGCAATATAAAATTNAAAAAAATAACTGTAGTAAGAAAAACAAATGAAAAATGCGAACTAATGTAACGTCGTATGGTGAGTTTTTGTTCGTATCGTGGAGCAAAAATATGTTCGAATTTCATGTCGTATCCTGAAAATTTCGTATGCTGGGGCGTTCGTAACCTGAGGTACCACTGTAGTAAACAACGTATTGTCGTAACGAAACTTTAATTATACCTGCCAGTATTTTCGTGTTCTAGCATGCTATAAAAGAAAGTGTCGCATTTCCATTTAGTGGACACGTGACTAAAGTATATAACACCGTTTTCATCCACATCTACATCATCTGGAATCATTAGTTCCTTTCCTTCTACCTTTTCGCCAGTGCTCACGAGAGTTGTGACTGTTCCTATACAGTTAAATCAACAGTATTGTAATAGTTGTATGTGAATAATATAATAATAATAATAACGAATGTAAGTGTTCCATACCTTTCTTAATATCAACTTGTAGAAGTCCTAATTGAGCATCGGCTACGTATAAGGTACCTTTGGCATCGAACCTTAAACCTAAAGGACGACTGCAAGGTATTGCTTTCTGTTTCTCTGTTAAAAAATATGTAAATTTATTATCAAGTAGATGTATCAGTTAATTATATGAATGCATAATTATTATATGAAAACCGAAGCATTTCAATTGAATTATTGGATATCTTTAGAATAAAGGTTTCTCGATCTTGTTGATGAAAAGAGAATTATTCAGAAAGGGAAGATTAAATGCACATCAGTAATTCAATGTTATACACAAAAACATACAACAGTTATGTTCTTGTGTGCAACATTGAATTAGCGATGTGTACTTAATCCTTCTTTTCTGGATGGATGAGCCTTTATTCTTGCTCGAAGCGTGTCATCGAGATTACCGCCGTTATCGTTGACCAAGAAGAAACTTTCAGGAAACTAATGTAGTAGTAGTAGTAGTTCCTCCAATGTTAAGTACCATAACGGGCAACAAGTATCTTCCATCGATTTCGATCATGGGCGAGGGCTTCAGCTTCCTCCCACGTCATATTGAGCTTCTTCAAGTCTTGAAGAAAAGTTTTACGCCAAGTATTCCTGGGGCGTCCTCGTGGTCGTTTGGAACCAGCGGAATTCATTTCATGGCTGTCTTAGGGATCCTATTCTTCTCCATACGAAAAATGTGGCCGGCCAGTCGGACTCTTCTACGGGCGACAATGCTATGAAGTTTGCACATCCGACTCCTTCGAAGAACCTCTTAATTGGTGATATGATCTAAATATCGGATATTCAGGATTCGTCGTAGATATCGCCGTTGAAAGACATCGAGCTTTCTATTGATATTTCCCGATGTGTTCCAGGACTCACTAGCATAAATAGCTATCGGAATCACGATGGAGGTGAACAGGCGGAATTTGGTTCTTAATGAGATGGATGGTGTGGACCAGATCTTGTTCATCTGCCAGAAAATGGTCTCCGCTTTTCCGATGCGGGCACTTCACGTTCATTCTGCGTCGCTATTTTGGGAAATTCCACTATCCAAGTAGATTGTTGCTGTTGTTAAGTTACGGCAACGCAACACTTGGGCGATCTGCCTAGGGGAGGATGCTTTCCGAGAAATCTTTTAAAGGATAACTGGCTCCTATTCAGGCATTACAGACGTGGAGAAAATGCGGAAAACTCCACGTTGCCACCCTCCCTGGCGAGGCGCGAACGTACGACCGAACTCTCAGTGTTCAGGGAACGGAACCACTTGGTCACTGGTGGGCCCCCGAAATAGGTAAATCACTTTAACTCTTCCAATCATTGTGCTCTGACAATAACTCCCCGTGTTTGGGCATTGTTACATACATGCATAATTTTCGACTTCACAGCGTTTATCCTGAGATCAATTTCGTATGCCTCCCGACCCAATGCGGCCGTGGCTTGCTGTAACATTGATTCGCTTTCCTCTAATAGGGCAATATCGTCAGCAAAAACCAAATCTCCAAGACGATTCTGCTCATGCTGTTCTCAATGCGCGCACCGGACTCTTCTGCCCGCCGCGTGACATAATCAAGGGCGATAAGGAAGAGGAAAGGGAACAGGACACAATCCTGCCTGACTCTGTTGTAATTTTAAAGAAGTCCGTATGACCATCTTCAGTCTTGACGCAACAACTCGAATGCAAGTATAAGGCCTTGAAAATGGTGACAAAGTTTGTCGTTATATCATATAATCGCAGGATCCGCCACAGGGACTCGCGGTGAACACTGTCAAAAGCCTTCTTGAATCAATGAAATTGATGGCCGATGGGTGTCGATACTCAACGCATTGTTCGAAGATATTTCGAAGGAAAGATCTGCTCGCTGCACGATCTTCCGCAGTGAAACCCAGCTTGCTCCTCCCACAAGCGCTGATAGAGAGCAATCCGCAGGCGTCGAAGTAGGTCCACACAAAATGCCTTTCCAGGCACAGAAAGGAGGGTGATACCTCGCCAGTTAGTACACTCGGAGATATCTCCTCTCTTAGGAATTCTGACTATAGAGCCCCTTCTTCAATTCTCTGGAACTCCCCACATTGCTGGCACCTGTTAAACAGTGACGTTAGCTTTTCCAACACAAGTGCCCTCCATGCTTCAAAATCTCAGTCCAAATTTCGTCCAAACTGGCTGCCTTACTATTCTTCAGGCTCTTAATCGAAAGCTCCACTTCCTCAAGGGTAATATCACCAGTGTGAACCCAAAGCTCATCCTGTGTGTCCTTAATAACGAAATCGTAAACGATGGTCGGTTCCGATTAATTAAATGTATTCTGAAAATGTTTCATCCACCTCGTTTTGCTCATCTTGAGCGATCAGAAGCTTCCCGTTTTTTTTCTTTTATTGGAACGTTGGAGTTACTCCTCATCCCAATCAGTTCATTGACTATGCGGCACAAGGTCTTGGGATCATTCTGGTCGGACGCCTGAATGCTTCAGCTCCCTTTCGTTCTAACGATTCCTTCTTGTCTTTCCGATAGCTTTTATTTACACGTCTATCCAACTCGGTGTATCTTTGGCTTTCTTCCTCCATTTCAGCCATTATTTTAGCCTGGTCCCTTTTAAGTTTTGCGTCTTTCCTCTCATCAATCAACTTCCACGAGTGATCTTGGATCCACTGATCCTTTGTCTTCCTCGACGTCTTCCAATGATGTTTTGGGTGCAATTCGTGGTAATGTCTCAGGTTTTCCAGAGATCTACATCTGTCATCTCTCGAAGAAGGGCGAAGCGATTGTGCAACTCCAGAGTAAATACTTCGGCGGCGATTGGATCATTTAATTTTTCACCCAACTTTAATATAGAATTTATAAAATTAGTAAACAATGTACTGTACAATAGAGTATAGTATTTAAAATGTCTACTCGGACTTATTTTGTTAACAGGACATATTATCGACATCTTCGTTTAGCAAAAGTTAAGAAAGCTTATCAAACAGTGTTTATTTTTCACCCGTACACTTTATACACGATATTGTGTTTCGTACTACAATGCAACTAAAAGTAGTGATTGAGTAGTTAATTATACGATCTTTACAGAGAAAAATACATTTATAAATCTATAAAAGCTCCAACTTAAAAGAATTTGGACTCATGATTTATATAAGAAAATAAAATGCAATTTCAAGAATTACAATGGTGATAACGGCATCTAATTTTATAATATTTCTTCATATATTGATAGATATTAATTAGAACGTGATTTATATAACTTACTGATATTCTTATATAATAAGTAGATTTGATTAAATTCAGATATAATCTACCGTTAAGATATGATAAAAGTGTCAATTTATCACTATATCGTGACCTTCGTACCAATCAGGCTATATACAGATATATTAATATATGAGTGTCCTAGCTTAAAGTAATGCATGTAATGGATTAATACACTTTTTAAATTATATATATCAGACATTTATAGAAATTATACCAGTATTTAAAATATTATAAATGTATTATGTATATATTTTAAACAGTGTATTTATTTCTTATTATATGCATTACTGTAAGCTAGAACATTCTTATTACTCCGGTGCCTTTTGTCGAAAATTCCTGAAATTTTGCGAGGAGACTCTGTATTAAGAGTATTGATGCCAGTACATTTTGGAGGATAAATGTCGAGGGGTGGGGAGATAGATCGGGGTAAAGTGCCGTATCTCGTGTGTAGGTCGGACTTAATGATTTTACTCGTTACAAGAATTTACAATTTTATAAAACTCGTCTCTAACCTCAAAATTAAGCTCTTTGACATTTTAAAATAATTAATAACATAAACATTTTAAAAATAACATATCGTGACAGATGACATCACACACTATTTTAAATGTGTTGGGCGGTAAAGTTACGTCACTCGTTGCTAGATTTCTTCCGTATTAAACAAGAATTTTTACAAATTAATTAATAGGGTACACGAATGGGATGGTAGTTTAGTCTTTATGACGCTAAACTGACCATTAGATCACCCGTGTATACACTCAAGAAGGAAGGTATGTTTTGTGTTCACTTAAAAAAGCGTTTTGCAGCAATTATTTATATATACGTTTTATAAAAATTTAAAAATTAATTTAAAAGATTTTAAAAAATCGTGGTTAACATCCATCGTACTTTTACGCTGGCTCGAATAACGAAGAATGGTAGGACCTTGTTTCTAATGAGCCAGTTTGAGGAGTACACAGCAATGATGACATCTTTCTATGACGTTTGGGTACGATGCCACAATGTATTCGGTGTATATATAATTGAATTGAATGCATGGTACGTAAAAATGATTTCATAAAGTTTTTAGAGCCGGCGAGGATTGCTATAGAAAGTGCGTGTGAAAACATTTATATGCCGTTTATTTGCATTCTGAAGTTTACGGAAAATGCAAATGTAATGGCAGAGGGTTTAATAAAGCGCTGTGAAATATGCTTTTAGTAATGTCTTAAAGTTGGTAGACTTGGCATTAATTACTGTGCATCATGTAACACTATAAAATATTATTCATTGTTGACTGCTTACTATTCCATACAACTGGCTTCTTACCCTTGTGTTGGGCTACTTACGAAAGATAGGAAATTTTAGTTGCTTATTATCTTATCAGTAAAAATATAGCGTTTTCCGATGAAGCACAGTTAAACAAATGTCTGACAAATATCCTGCAATGTTTTCGAAGCTTTTTCACATATTATGATATATTGCTTAGCTATGGTAACTTCCCCCACTAACGTTATAAAACACTTTTTATTATAGGTGAAATGTGAAAAATAACACTTAATTGCACATTAGAGGCACAGAGAACAAACATTATACGGAAAACCTTCTCTCCAACCATTTTTGTGCAAAATGGAAACTGATAACAACACGCTGAATGAGTTCTCAAAAAATATGGGTAATGCTTTGCTAGCTGCAAATATTCCTTTTAATAAATCAAACAGCGCGGCTTTTAGGGTATTTTTGCAGAAATACTCGTAAACAAATGATAATGTTCCAAGCGAAGCTAATCAACGAAAATACTACTTGGAGCCGACATACTGCAGAGTTTATTTGTAAATTAAACTTTTTCGTAGTAACTGCCATCTTCGCTGTTATTCTTGGAACTGGAGAGTGTAAGGTTAAATTTAGGAGAATTTTGTTTTCGGCTTTCTGTGGATGACACTGCAGATCTTTGCGGGAGATCCACTGTTAACATAATAGTAGGAAACTTGATCTCGAACTCTCTGTTTTGCATTTGATACTTTTCAGCCTTTTATGTGGCTATTATCTGTAGTAAATATTTTCCCCTATCGAGAATCTTATGACGTGCAAAAACTGTGAACAGATTTCTTTTCATCACGGACCGCGCCTCCTACATTCTGGTGAAATTCTTAAATCCCTTCATCCAAAAATACTCCACATCATTTGTTGCTCACGATCTTTGTCAATAGCCGCAAATATAATAATTTTTATTAAATTAATTTGCATGCAGATTTTATTTACTTGATTTTTAGGCGATTCAAATGTTGATTCTGATGAAGCTGCAGCAATTGGGACGATTTAAGTGCCTAAGTGACGTAG